AGTCTGATGAATTTTGAATATTTTGCAGTTTATTATCCCTGTGGTACATCAAATACATTCCAACTAATAACACAATCCTAGAGAGTTAAATCCCATTTAATTCAGTGGAGTTTTATTTCTCAGGTCAGTTTCTATAGTACTGCCACATATGAGAAAACTTCATATTATATTTCTCTGTGCCTCCACCCAATTCCAAGTATGAGATCCTCAAATGGAGAAATTTCTCATAGCTCTATTGTTGTTGCCCTTGAGTCTTAGAGAACCATTCTATAGACCTGTAATAGGTAAAACACTTAGAGAAGACCTTCTATCCTCCACTGATCTGCTTAGGTCCTGCAAATTCATGCTCATCTCTCTAATTGAGTCAATCCAACTGATGTGCAGCCTTCTTCTCTTTCTGCTGCCTTCTACCTTCACAACCAGTATTGTCTTTTCTAGTGAGTCATATCTTCTCATGATGACCAAAGTATGTCAGCCTCAGTTTCATATCTTGGCTTCCCAGGAGAGTCCAGGCTTGTTTGTCTTTTTGGCTTTCTTTGATATCCTCATCACTGTTCTCCAACAGCACATCTCAGATGATTTGGTTTTCTTTCTGTTGGCTTTCTTCACTGTCCAGCTCTCACATCCATACATGGATGATGGCTTGGATGATTCTAATATTAGTACTCAGTTGTATGTATCTTTGCACTGTAGGATCTTGTGTGCCTTTCAATAGCTGCCCTTCCCATTTCTAACCATCTTATTTCTTGACTGCAGTCTCCATTCTCTTCAATGTTTGATCCATGCTATGGGAAATCTTTTACCTATTACAGGTCTATAGAATGGTGCCAATACACTTAATAGGTAAATCTTCCCTAATTTCATTTCAAAGCCAAAAAAATTACTTGTTGGATTTTGGCATCTTGTGTTAGAGATCGTAAATAGTTTCACAGATGTCTTTCCCTCCCCCATAAATACTGTACTGATGTTACTGTTCTGCCTTCATGTTTTTTACTGCAATCAAGGTTATCAGAAAATGAGTCACACAGATTGTTTATCCAAGGGCAGAGGAGGTGGAAGTAAAATTTAAACTCACCATCCTGAGTTTCAATCAAGAGTCTGCTGTCATAGCAGGTGGATAATATTCCCCCAACATACCCTTATAGTTATATTTTCAAGTATGTTACTAGATCAACAGCTTATTCAGAGTTGATACCTAGCCAGTATAATATGTGCCTTTGGGAGCTGAACTATATCCCACATTTTGATGAAATGGGTTTCATTTGCTTGTTTCACTCCCTTATGGATTTCACAGTCATTAATCTCACCCACACAGTGCTCAGCTGAGATTTTGTGGTGCTGGCATTTGCAGACAAACAAGATACGATGTCAAAGACCAAAAGACCCTGTGAATTCTTTCTTTCTTTCTTTCTTTCTTTTAAAAAAATCTCATTCCTGGCAAAAGGAAATTTTGAAATTGGTTCAGTCTAGGGAAGCCCAATGAGGAAGGAGCTGTGCTAGTATAGATATTAGGGGTTAGGCATTATACATTAATGTGGGAAAATATATTATTTGATTTATTTACAATAATATTTATATCCTGCCCCCCCCCCTGTTTTTTTTTTTTTTTTGGTGGAATTACCTTACTTCCAGAATCAATATATGCAAACTGAGACACAGTTATACTTTGAATTTTGAACTGTCAGTATTTTGTATTGTCCAGTTCAGTTTTCTGATTTAAAAAAAGCATACAAAATGCAGATATAAAGCAAAAGTGAACAAAAAAGTGCAGGAATATGTGTTCTAATTTTTGTAGTTTTTAAAAAATAAACTGATGCAGCAAAGGGAAGAAAGAAACATATGGTCTGGAAAAAAAAATCAGTGAAACTCAGATTAGAGAATTGCCTGTCCTTATAAGATATGCCTCCCAATTGAAGACCTGGAACACCTGGAACTACTAAGGAAGATCAAAGAAGAAAGTGCAAAGGGAGGCTTAATGTTG